CACATGGAAATGCACCAGGATACGAACTCCGTATCAAGAGAAATAAAGATGGTGTGAAAGATCTTGTCTTACTCCTGCCTCTCTAAGTCATTGAATGCTTTGTTCAAACAGCACCTTCACTCCTGAATGACAAAACAGGCTGTGAGACCATCTGCCACCCCCCAGACCAAGAAGAGTTTCCTGGTGAACATCCCAGGCATGGATCCAACTGCTGTACCAGGGCACAAGAGGAAAGACACAATCTCTACCTGCTGCTGTGAGGCTTCACTTGTTTACACTTCCCTTCCTGGAAGAAAGACTGCAGAAAAATTCCTGCTTCTTTTTCCTCTCCTTTTTACTCCAGAAGTTGTAAGTCGATGGCTCAGTGTCCAGAGACCAGTAACAAGTGTTATCCCTCAGGGATCGGTGTTGCGACCGATCCTGCTCAACATCTTTGTCAGCAACACAGACAAGTGGGATTAAGTGCACCCTCAGGAAGTCTCCTGACAAAACTAATTATGTGGTTCAGGTGACACTCTGGAGGGAAGGGATGCCATCAAGAGGGACCTGAACACGCGTATGAGGTGGGCTGATGCCAACCTCATGAAGTTTAACCATGCCAAGTGCAAGGCCCTGCACCTGGGTCAGAGCAATCCCAGGCACAGCTACAGGTTGGGAAGGGAAGAGATTCAGAGCAGCCCTGCGGAGAAGGACTTGGGGGTGTCGGTCGATGAAGAAAATGAACATGAGCCAGCTTCGGTGTGCGCTCGCAGCCCAGAAAGCCAACCGTATCCTGGGCTGCATCAAAAGGAGCGTGACCAGCAGGTCAAAGAAAGTGATCCTGCCCCTTTACTCTGTTCTTGTTGAGACCTCACTTGGAGTACTGTGTGCAGTTCTGGTGTCCTCAACATAGGACATGGAACTGTTGGAGCAAGTCCAGAGGAGGGCCACAAGGATGATAGGGGCCTGGAGCACCTCCCATATGAAGGCAGGCTGAGAAAGTTGGGGCTGTTCACCCTGGAGAAGAGAAGGCTGCGTGGAGACCTCACAGCAGCCTTCCAGTATCTGAAGGGGGCCTACAGGGATGCTGGGGAGGGACTCTTCATCAAGGACTGTAGTGATGTGTAATGGGTTTAAACAGGGAAAGTTTAAGGAAGAAGTTCTTTACTGCGGAGTGGTGAGGCACTGGAACAGGCTGCCCAGACAAGTGGTAAATGCTCCATCCCTGGCAGCATTCAAGGCCAGATTGGACAGAGCCTTGGGCAACATGGTCTAGAATAAAGCATCCCTGCACATGGCAGGCAGTTTGGTGCTATGATGATCTTAATGTGCTTTCCAACCCAAACCATTCTATGGGTCTAATGAAGTAAGTTAAGAATCTAGGTCTGGCTGGTGCAACGTGAGGCCTCCTAGTCCTCTCTTGCTCCACAAACACCAGTTATCCAGGAACAAGAAAAATCCCAGTCATCATGTGCTGCCAGAAGAGGTGATTGCTGAATGAGCCATTTTTACCACTGCTACTGCGGCCACAAAACAAGTTCCATTCTGCATTATTATCTTCAATTTATTTCAGTTAATTTCCTTCCTTTTGTTCCCCACAACAAAAAATGAAGGATGTTTACTTTTTTTAAAAGTGACATTGCCTAGTACTTGTGAGAAATGAAGCCCACAAATTGCCCTCCTCCATAGAAATGGCAAAATCCATGCTGACTTGAGCTCTGGTTCATCATTGTTCAATGTTTAATTCCCCAATTTCAATACAACAGTGTAATTACCTCAGTTTTGGTTTTGTTTTATTTTCTAACTCAGGAAAAATCAGCTGGCTGACAGCAATTCAACTGAGCAGGGGAAGTTTCAGAAGGTCGGAGGGCTCAGCAGTGAAAGCAGTAATACAGAGGGTCTGGGGAGTGACCTGCAGGGAGTACCTGCAACTTGTAATGGTAATGGCTGCAGGAGAGGCAGGAAACTGAAGAAGGAAAGCTGAGAAGTTAGTTTTAGGGTTAGCAGGAGAGGATGGATTTGAACAGTCCTAGAACAGCAAGGAGCACTCAGATACTAGTATGGGTCCTAGTAAAGGGTTTGAAGATACAGAGTACATTCAATTTGTATACACAGCTGTTCCTAACATGCCTCTGAAATAGGCAAGAGCAGGGTCAAAAGGTTGATGCAGTTTTTCATAGAGTATAACCGTTTATTTTAGGCCCAGTTACCAGAAGTGATTTAACACTCAACTTAAGTGCAAGCTTTTAAACTTTAAACGGAGACACACCATTCTCCAGGAAAAGAAAAATATCAACAAGCAAGGGACTCTAGCACAAGCTCTGATTAGCAAGAACAAACACAAAGACAAGGACTATGAGTCCAGTCAAAAGTTACCTGTAAAAACACTAATGACAGATCTGTATACATTCACAGTGAAGATGGAAGTAGAGAGGAAGAATGAGGGCTAGTCCAAGGGATATTCTTGAAGAAATCTGGAATAATCTTTAAATGAGTGATATATTGATTTTGAGTTCTGAAAGCGCAACTGCAACAGTAATAGTATAGTTTCTTTCTTCCAAGTTTTTCTTCCAAATGTCCATATTGTATATTGTCCTGATACACTAGTAGAAATGGGGCACTAAGCCAAGTGATTAACCTGGTATCATGTACATCACTGATGGACACAGACTTTGATCCCTGTACATAGGACTCCTGGTGTCTTCTTCTGTCTATCTATGGTGCTGCAACATGATGAGAGGCACTGCCTCTAAAGCTGTTGAATATATTGCCACTCGAAGCTGTGTATTTAAAATTCTGTGCATTTTGAGTTTCTTCTATTTTGAAGAAAAGCTACCCAGCAAGGCTTTACTTCCATTAGTTAAGGATTTCTTTAAAGTATCTGCCCTGGATCCAGGAAGTGCTGAAGCAGTAGGAGGTATTTTTCTGAGAAGGACCTGAAGGTGCTGCACAAGTCTCCGTGGCTCCAGCTGAAGCGCAGTGATACAAAAACCATGTGGCACTTCCAGCTACTTGATGACGGATATTCTCTTGTGTTTGACCATACACTTACAATATATTTATTCTTAGGATTATGTCATTGAGCATGAGCTGCTTTCAGGCATTAGATCATACATCTGGTCCTTCCTTGAATGCTGTTTTAACCATTTGCTGAAAGCACCAGTTGAAAGGATGATTTGACCAAGTGACTAATTTGATTGAATGCCTGTAACACTTCCAAACTATTTTTAAGCCACTTAAAGAACTTCATCTGATAGATCCGGGCAAAAGCTGCATAAATTGTGGGTCAGCACAAAGCAGCAATTCACAGATGGGCCTCTGTAAAAAAAAAAAAAAACAAAACATTCTTTTTGGAGGCATTTTTTCCTGTATCAGCTCAAACTAGTACTATGTCCTTTCTTTGCTCTCATGGATAAAATAGGCAAGAACTTCAAAAGCAAATACATGAAAAAATACAGGTAAGAATGGGAGGTTTTCAAAGGCACAAACTGGAGTTAGGTGCCAATGTGGCCTTTATCAGGAATTTAATACTTGCATTCTCTGCATTTAACCACTATGCAAATAACATAAAGAAGCACCTGGATGAAAACCTTTGAGCAGTTCTAAGAAACAGCAGTTCTATGTACTCCCTCACTACTGCTTTCCTTCACCTGAAATAAATTTCAGCCCATTTTTAGCTTGGGGTAGTCACATCCTGCTCTGTGAGGCGATATAAGCTGCCATCAGTTCAGCATCTGCACTGATTTACATAGATGTTAATATCCAACAGCTATTTTCCATTGGCTCTCTTTGGTTTACATAACTGGAGGCCATACAGAGTAACAAAGAACCAGGCACTCCGTTTAAAAACAGGCACTCCATTTCTGGCAGCGGGCAGGATAGAAAGCCTTTAATTTGAGCCTTTGAGTGTATCCATGCAACATAAACTACAAGTGTGAGAGGAACATGCTGATAGTTCTGCACTACCCCTAATGGCACTGAGATGCAACAAGAAGGAAAATCTAGTGCACGCTTATTTTATTACAGAACGTTCCCATTACAGCCAACTACAGGTGCCATTTTGGATAAGTTGGTCCAGCGAGCCCTTCCTGGATGGCCAGTTTCCATAGCAAGTGAGCAAATTTGTTGCTTGTATTGTGTATTATACCACAGTTGTGCACAAAGGAATTCAGAATGGTTTTTACATGCTTGTATATGTAGTAATACCAAGTGTCTGAAATGCAGAAATTTATTGTTTCACAGAAATATCAGTGAGTAAAATTTAAGAAATGTCTAAATGTCTATGTTTAGGGGCTAGATATGGAACAAGTTACAGATGGTTTTAGACAATATGGATTTTGAAGTAATTGCAGAAAATTTCTATAAATATATTAATGTCATCTGCAGAAATTAACTTCCCTGTCCAAACTGTGCAGAAAAGAATAAACAGATGTATTTAGTTGAGAGTGATATTTATTCTTTCTGAGGAGTCCTATGTATTCAAAAGGTAGGGATATCTCTTATATACCTCAAAAGCAGCTGTGGGGCAATTGCAGCTCTTATGTTTTTGTTTCATTGAATGCAAGATACAAGGAGCCTTTATTTTTCTATTATTTCTCATCTTCTGAAACAATATAGAGTGAGAACAGTAGATTTTGTTCTTTGTGCAAGGGAAACATGATAAAATCCGGGGCTAAGTAGACAGCTTAAAAAGCAGTGTTAGTTTTTGAAGTGACTGTTCCTCTGAAGCAAGAGACAGAAGAGAAAAAAATGGGTCTTGACAATACAGTAAGTAGATTTCTAAAAGGTTTTTCCTTCCAGCTCAAATATTTTATGGAACTGGAGAAACACCAGGCTCCACTTGTAAAAAGAATAAAATAAGAGGATAATGGATACAACAGTAACAAAGATTACTTTGAGACAGTGTCAGAAGAAAGACTCAAAACAAGGAGAAGTATCCCAGGTTAACTCATCCATTATTTTCAAGATTCCACGAGCCCCCAGGTTAGGCAGTTATCTTGAACCAGAAGTGAGTAGCAATGTTAATTTACCAGTTTTATTGCTCATTCAAACCATTAATCACTACCAACAACCTTAAAAAATATGGAGGATATAAAGAAACAGGACAGGACAGAGATCGTGTCAATACACAGATGACTGCTTGCTGTTTACCTGGCACCCCAGGTCCTTGTTGTATCAGCTGCCACAGAGAGTAAGTGGGCTTAGATTCTTGATGCAGTTGTACAAATCAGATTTTGTTTTGGTATTGTTTCCAGCTGAAAGCCTTTTCTTTATTCTAGTGGTAGGAGACTTTCTTCCTATTAAATGCTTCAGTGGTGGATTTAAATATTTAGAGGATCCACATTACAGGAGAACTGTCTGAAAGCATCACAAAGCAAGCATTAGTTAAATCCATTAAGGATCTACTTAAGTGGAATTCCCTGCTGTTATCTACACGATAGCCACATAAAATGACACTATGCAAAGAAAATGCTGGGGGAAATATTCCTCCTCACATACTGTATCTGTGAAAAATCCAGTCTTACTGAAGGATCCCTTTTTGATTGTCTTGATTTCAGCTCAGAATTTATATTCTTCAGCTGAATTAGAGTACAGGGAACAATATGGCTTGGTTTCAGTTGTGCTTTTGCCCCTCTCCTTTTTAAGTACACTCAGTTCAGATAAAATCTTTTCTTAGAGCAGAAAGTACGGAAACTCTTTTTGTTTTGGACACAGCACAAACCATCAAAGTTGTATTCATTGTGCAAGACACAACAGGAATACACAGAACCTTTGTGTTGTATATTTTTAAATACAGGTAAGTGGTAGCGGTATGAATAAGATGTTCTTTCTTCCAGCTCCTAGAAAAAGGCACCTGAACCATATGAATTATAAAACTTACACCATCTTTCAGCTTGCTCTTGTTTTTACATAGGAGGAAAAGCTTGAACTCCATGAACTTGTTTTTCCATTCTCTGCAATCATGGGTTTGACACACGCCCAAGAAGGCAGTTATATTCCTCAGAATATTTCTATTCTTTATCAGTTATGTAACATTTCCTATTTTTGAATGCTCAGGAATCTCTGATACAATTTAGGCTTATGGATAAGATAAAGGCACTACAGAGAGTATATACAATGCATAAACATCCATACTGGTTGTAATATTTATATACCTAATCTATCTGTAAATCAGTCTACAGCATCTCCCATCACTGATTTTCTCTCTGGCCCCCATTCTGAGTACATTTTATACAACCCAAGAGGGTAAGCTCTGTTCTCTAGTCAGAGAAGTATAGAGTTATTCTATAGAGGCAGAGATTTTTTCTTTCTAAGACATTAAACAAAATATTTCTTTTCTATTGGAGGGTGAGATACTAAGAAGTCTTGGTTCATCCATACATGTAGATGTACATACAGAGGACCACACAAAGCCAGTAAGCCCACTTTGTCTTCCCAATTAGACTGTACCTTAGAGGTCCAACGCAGAAGAGAAAAAACACCTCAGCAAATCTGTTATTTCAGGGGTTAGCAGCTTACAGAAGGGAAGGAATAGCACATGGGAAGTTTACCAGTGGCACAAAGCAGACACAGAAGTGTGAGCCCTGGTGATTTGAGAGAGGCGTCCTTGTTAAGCAGTGGCTCCTGGATTCAGAAGTCTGGACACTGGAGAGGCTGCCACGTCCTGGGAGGGAAGATACTATAATCAGGTGTCCAGAAACCACAAGACACTGTGAGCAACAGTATTCTCTCACATGTCTGACACTCCTGTCCACACACAAAGCTACTACACTAGGATAAAATCTGGTGTCAGGTGGTATGGCAAACCCAAGGAATTACAAAATCAGAAGTCAGACCCTTTCCTCAGACCAGTATTATCCTAACTATGGGACTGAAAAACAATGCCTGTCTGGGTCTTCTGGCACTCCAGCCATTGAGGGATATAGTTCAGTAGCATTTCTAACCTTGTCTCCACACACATGGAAACTTACTTTAAAAAAAAAACAAACAAAAAATTCAATTTATCAAAAGGGTTCAGAACATCGGATTGCTACAAAAGCATCACCTGTCAAGACTGTGATCATAACTTTACAACTAACTTCATATGACACTGGCAACACAGGACAACACTGCCCTGTGGTGCAGCAGTATCATGACGTACTTCTTAGCCTTCTCCAGAGACATGCATCAGCAAACAAGCAAGGCCACCAAATTGGGAATGGAACAAAGATACACCACAGTCCTTCCACACCTTGGGGGAAAAAGACTGCATTTTTGCAGAGCCACACAATATTCTGAGAACCCTTACTATAGATTAATAAAAGGGTCTTGCTGTATATCTACAAATTGAGCATTCAAGGTGTGATAAAACCTCTAATGACTTTCCACTGGTATTTGTAACCCTTTGAAAATGTAACTTCTGTGCTCTTTGTGCCCCAAATAAAAAATTGTCTTTTGCTGTTTTCTCCATTTATAGTCCTTTCAGAGTAACTGCGTGATTTATAATAATTCCTACTCCTACAAGCACTTCTCCGCAGACAATAGGTTTGCCAAGGCCCACGATGTGGAACTTAAATGGCCTATCTTTCAGAAAAACACTTCTGAGTAGAACAAAGAGGTGTATGTGCATGTATGAGGGAAAACATTGCCCAAAAAAAAAAGACCTGACCCTGGAAGGCAGTGTTACCAGATCAGCAGGGGGCATTAGGCACCACACCTCCCCGCCGCTCCAGTGGCACAGGCTGCCGGGCAGCGGCAGATGATCTGGCACAACACATACAAACTATGAAAAGAAGACAAACATCTATCACCCGTTAAGTGCTTTAGCTTTTATTTAGCATAACGACAGTGGGACAGGTATCCGTTAAACAAGTGGAGTGCGACGCACAGGGGCAAAGGCGTCGGTCCGATGTGGAAGCCCCTCCTCCCTCTTCCCACAGCCTGCGGTGCGCGACATGGCTGCCGCTCCCGGCAGGCACTGCGGCCGGTCCCTCCGCCGGGCACTGGGCGCTACAGGGCCCGTCAGGCGGGCGGCCACAAGATGGCGCTGGCCCGAGCGGCGCCGCGGGGCGGTCGCGTTCCCGGTCAGCTCCTGTAGCTGGCACGGCAGTTGTTTCTGGTAATTTATTGGTTTTATAAAGTGTTCTGGGCTCATTATAAATAGCACCACATTAGGAGCAGTTCTGCTGCGCTGGATTGAATTAAAGATACATGCTTATTTACCCACTGAACTTAGGATCTCATACAAATACTTATTCACATATTAAGTGTATTATGACAGTCTGGGATCTACATTGTTCACACTCCCCAAATCTTTGTGTTAAAACGGCATTTTTTGCGCAGCAAATTTGCAACACATGAGTAGAAGTGATACTTGAATTTCACTATTTCAGCCATTGTGGCTTTTTCTTTTCTTTTTAGTCTCCCTCTCATATGCCAGCAAAAGCAAACACGGCACTAGCCGAGCAGCACTTTTCGTCTCTGAGAGGCTTGTGAATGTCCCAAAACCCACACCCAGCCCCGCTGCCTCAGCGAGGGGCTGTGTTGTGCTTTCAGCCCATGCCGAAGTGAGCTGGATCTGTGGCGCTCCTGGCTGGCAGCGGTGCCTTTATCCCCTGCCTGCGTGAGCCCAAACCCCCCCCACACGGCAAGCCAGAACGTGCAGTGGCTTAAGTGAGGACAGCGGTTCGCTGTTCCCCAGGCTCCTGCTCCCGCGTGTGTTCATCATCTTGAGTGGTCGTGCAGTTTTGAACACTTCATGGAAAGAAATTGACCGCTTAAGTCTTCTCCAGGCTTCCCGTGTGCCAGTGCCGTCCTTTCTGAGGAGCAAAGCACAAACTCGGAGCAGAGGTTGTAATCATTTTACCATTCCTCTGGTAATGGTTTCCCAAATCTTTGTTCGCGAAGTCAAGCCATGAGGTGAGGTAACGGTGTGCCTCAGGACACACCTGCCCTAAGGTGTGCCTGCACCCCTCAGCTTTCGCACCTTCTGCCCCACTGCCAGTCCTCCATGTGTTCTCAGAGGAGTGAAACGAAGCACCACACAGTCCTGTGTGGGATGCCGGCCGTGCAGGTGAGACTAGGAGCTACGGCCATGGGGGTCAGACACCGGGGGTGACAGTGGGATGGGTGAAGGAAAACTCAGAGCTGCGATGCTGGAAATAAGGAGAACAAAAGCCTTGTGGAGGGCGAACAGCACCGTGAGGCATGAATGGTACAACAGTGCAAAAGGGAGAGAGACAAGAAGCAGCCAGAGCACTTTGCTTCCCAAAACCCCACATCTGTAGCTCCCCACATACACTCCCTTTCTTGAAAACTACAGTCACCTCCAAATTGTTTCTGAATGCCCTGAAATTCAGCTTGCATGTTCCTTAGTGAGGGGAAGGTCTGAGGTGGGAGTGGTGCAGATGCAGTGGAAGCTTTAGCATGCAGCCACTCGCCACTTTGACCAGGCGAATCGCTGCTAAAGCTGTAGAAGCAGTGAATGAGAAAAGCTGTGTCAGAGTACTTGAAGGCTTCAAGAAGTTTACTGGGAGACGGGGGAAAACACATGGAATATCGCAAAACTTTATAAAGGTGGAGTAAAGACTGAACAGTGGTCATGCCCTTCCAGCATAGGCAGCACCTAGACATAAACTGTGAAAAGCATTTTTTGCACTTTTGAGCACCATCTAAGTACTGAATCTGCATCTGCCAAGCTGATACTAAAGCATGCCCATGTTCTAGGAACTCCCTGGAAATGGAAGCTGGGAGCACTGCTGAATCAACAGTTAACACCCATACTTTGCACAGGCAAAGCTTGAGAGTGGGTCACACAGTCTGATCACGGATGGTGCATCTGGCCTATACTTACAGACCAAAGTAGTGATGTTCCCTCCTCATTCCCTACTCCTGGATGGAGTGCTAACTGTTATCACCCTTCACCCTTTCCCCTAGGGTCTTTTTTGAGAGCTAGTTTACACCACAAAGAATTTTTCCAGTATAGCTGTAATTACTGAAACCATGGGGTAAGTGCAATTCATTCCAGTGCCATTTTTGCCAGTATTGTTAAACCTTTGCTTCAAATGACAGAAACTATTTCAGAAAAAGAACTTTTTTTGTTACTTATTGTTTATTCTGACTTCATTCAGCCTCATCTTTTCACACTCCTCCCTGACAAAACTATTTGGCCAACAGATTTAGCCTGAACTTCTGAAACTGTTTCTGCTCTCTCCCCTTATTAAATGCTGTCATGTATGGTACCCCAAAGCTGACAGTTGCCAAGGCCAGTTGCGTGCCCTTTTTCTGGCAGCACCAACAAAATTGATTGGTTTAGGAATCACTGAGGACAGTGCTTCACTGCGAATACTATAATCTGAAGCAGTTTAGTGTGGATACATCTGTACTAGCAAACCAGTGTTTTCTTCTAGCAGAATAAAACCATCTCCCACCAATGACATAAAATATTATTGGTAAAAATACAGTTTTACTGGTACAACTGTGTCTCTACCAGAGGCTTCTGTTGACACAGCTATGCCTGTCAGGGCTGGCATCTCTTTACAGCTATGCTAGTAGATATCAATCCTGTAAACGTGATCTTGGTCTCTCAGAACACACGTTCACTGCTTTTCAGCTCACAGTGACAACTCCATCCCACAACTGTATTCCGTACAGTTACTCTTAAGACAGTAAATGCAAATGAAGATGCAAATACATGTTGTAATTCAAATCAGTGAAACAGCATCCTATTCTGCCGTTCCTTCCTTACAGCTACTTAATGCAGATTCATAAAATTTAAGGTCAGAAGATACCTTTAGGTAATACAACTTGAGGTATAACACAGGTCAAGCAATTATATGTAATTAACCCTCATGATTCATAGATGAGCAGGCATCTTCTAGAAACCATCTTTAAGTCAAAGATACCAAGTGAAGAAATCACCATTTTCCTTAGTGGCTTGTAACATCTGCCTCACATTACTGAATACAGAGCCATAATAAGATGTTTTGACCCCTGTGATGTCCCATTCTGTGTGGGTTTCTCTCCTTGAAGTTCCTCTTCTCTATGATCCTTTTCCTTGATCATTCTTCTACTCCTAGCTGCATTATTCTAGGTAACACATCTCCAGCAGCAAACCTGCCATCACCCTTCCAGAGCAGCATAAGCCATTGCACTAAGACAACCTACCAACCTTCTGGTGTCCTCTGCAGGGAGCAGGCGAACACCCTTGTGACAGAATCATGCTCAGTGGGTACTGTCATCTCTGTGAGCAGGGTTGAAATACTGTCAGCTGGGTAGTGTATATTTTTATTTTACATTTTCTGGCGACCAAGTGTTTATACTGCACTGATCTCCATGCTCTGCAAAGGTAAAAAGCATGCCTGGGCAATAACAACTCTACATTTGTTAGGTCTGTGGATAATTCACATATATAAATCTTAGTAAATTTATTCCAAAATACAGAGAGTAAGACTTTTGACTGATGTATATTCGTAGGTACAAAGATACACATCATACTAAATTCATATTATTAAAGCCTTTACAAGAGAATCAGCCAAGCAGAAGATGACAAGCTTAAAGAGATTGTGATTACAGAAAGACAAGGAAAACAAACAAAATTCTTCCTTGTTTTCATTTTTTTCTACCCCATAAAGTGTTTATGAGTAGCTGGGTTTAACTATTCCTGTCTTCACTGAAGTAATCAATAGAGGAATACCTTCATAGAGAAGCATGCATTTTCTACAGTTATAGCTAAACAGGACAGATTTGAACAAATTCCTAAGGATCCACTTCCATTATTAGGGAAGAATCTGAATTTTTAGCTCTGCAAATAACCAGCTGAATAGCTTGTAACTCGATTTTTATTAACATCCAGTTGTCTGTCACATACCTCAAAGTCCAAGTGTCCCTATGTATAGTATTCCTGAGTACTTGACATCAGACAGCTGGCAATATTCTCAATATGATGTATAACAAGTGACTTTATTGGGGTAATTTAGGACAGACCCTGCAGAACATGTAAAAGAGTTTTTGTCTGGGAGCTGTTTCTCCAAATCTATCTGAGAAATGGCTTGCAATCTTACTCATCTTCACAGGTGCTTGATGCCATTGATTTACAATTTTATATTGCAATTCTAAGAGGTTAGCTGAAATAGAGCATACACGTATGAAGGACATTATTGAGTCCGATATCTCCAGTTCAAGAGAATGAGATAGTTCCCTTTCCCATTTAATCATAAATGTTTCTTTAGTGGGCAATAAAGAAAAAGCAATGGCTTTATGCAATCATCCCACAATGTTCTGAGATTCATTGCTAAGGAATAAGATTTGCTCAGAGAAAAAGGATTCTCTAATACAAGTAGATTTAACATCAGACTGAATAAAGGAACTCCTGAACTGGAAGAAGCAAAAAGGGAAGTCTAGCATGTTCCACCTTTATTGTATTTCTAGGTGAAACATGAATTTGTTTTACTGAAGAGTTAAGATAAATATTCCAAATAATTGAGATCAGTTTTTTTCCTGCAGTCTTTCAAGAAAGTAGGAGAGCAAAATACACAATATACTTAAAACAAAGAGTCACATTACTTTTAAAGTTGGTACAGACATCACCCCAGGAACAGAGAACATGGGTTCAGGTCTGGTCCATAAAAACTGCAGTTTTCACACCTGCAAACTCATGATCCCTCTCTTTCCAAAACATACCTAGAAAGTCAGTTCCCCTTAGCTGAGTAATGAGCTGGATTTATACATCTGTAACAGAACCCACCATACTCAAGAGGCTTGCATAGTGCTTTTAATGATTCCCATTCCTGCCTAAGTTAGTAAGAAGTGTTTTAAACAGGATGAAACACTGAATGGGGTGAAGTTCACAATAGT